CTCACGCGGCGCCGCGCCGGACGGACGCACGTCCCTGACGGCCTGCAGTCTGAGAGTCGCTCTGTCTCTCTCGCACTCACGTCGCACCTCGTACGAGAGAGACAGAGCGACTGCAGTGTGCTGTCGGGAGTAATGGTGACGCCGCGACTCTCATGGCGACGCCAAGGACCTCCCGGAGGACAACACTGCCCGGTCGCGGCACACTGTGGAGATACGTGTTGTCACCAGGACCACAGGAGAAATTTTTGCTCGAATCGAAAGTCTTAGTAAGATAGTTCAAATTTCATTTCGCGGGTACCATTTTTAGAGTGCAGCAGCCCGAGTCGTGTCGTGCAGGATGCAGGGCAGGGTACCCAAGTGCGATGATGTCGCGGTGTGCTGGCCGCGGGTCGAGGGAGTTCCCCACTGAGTCCGAGTCACCCACAGTGGAGTCGCTTGCTTGGCTGGTGCGATTTCATCTGACGGGGAATGCGAGTGTCCCGTCGCCAACCTATACTTTGGCGAGTTTATGCGGCGCCTAGCCAGCCTGCCTAGCCAGCCGGCCTAGCCAGCGGAGAGCATAGCGCAGCCAGGCAGAGAGATCATTGTCCATCAGGGCAATCGCGCGCCATTATTTATTTACATTCATTTGCCACGGCGGGGGCCGATAGGAATCAGGATCGTTTCTTTCAGAAAACCAACATCAACAACAGCAACAGCAGCAAAAACAACAACACACAATGAAAAAAAAAGTACTTGTCACCACACTCGTCAGAATTCTGTTTTATTTGCGTTGTGTGCAGATTCGACTTCGACAACCCAGAACGCACTTTTATTTTGCAGCTCTCTCTGCCCTCATGCTAAAAAGTCACAGTAGATTGACACTTCTATGTTTTATTTGCTATCGTTGTTTTTTTTGTTTGTTTTTTTTGTCTCTTTTTTAAATTATGTCGAGTAATTTATGTAAAATGACTACCGCCACTTTTAAAGCTCCTCTTCCTCAGTGGCGTGACCGCATTCTGTATGGGAGTCCATGGCGGAAACGAAAGGGGAAACGGATCCAGGTGCGAGTGTGTGTGTATGTGTGTGTGTTTGTTTGTGTGCGTTTACGTGTGTACATGTGAGCGGGCAATCCGAAAAGGGATCTGGATGTGAGGAATCCGGTGCACTGGACGCGGGCCAAGGCGGCGAAACGGCACTCCGGCGCGGTCTGACCCGCCCAGTGTTACAGTTGCAAAAAGGGGGGTGGGTTATACTTGGCCACAAAGGCGGGAGGGGAAATTTTAGGCAGGAGGGGGGGAGGGGGGGAGGGGGGGAGGGGGGTCACACGTTCGGTTCGAGCCCCATTTAGCGACTCTATAGCTCAAAAGCGTCTAAAAGTTGGCCGCCTCACCGGTCTTCTGGCCCACTGTGCGCCCGTTCGGGGAAATGCCTCGGGGGATTCCTCTTATCGACCCCAAAAAAAAAAACAAAAAAAAACAAACAAAAAAGAAAATGAAAACAGAACCCGCGTCCGATTGGGACTGGGGCTGTGTTCGGCGTGCCTCGCGGTGTGCATTGCGCGGCACTGTTTGAGCAAGAACGGCCTTCTCATCCTTTGCGTCGCTCTGTCTCTCTCGCACCGCTCAGGGACGCGCCGCGAGAGCAAGGGAGACAGAGCGACGAGCAGTGCTCTGAAAGCTCGCCGGGCTGACAGCCACTCCGCGGCGCTGCGGTGACGTCCAGAAGCCGGTTGGGGGTGGAGGCGGCCAAAAAACCTCTCCCGCGTTTTAGTAGAGCGCTAAGCAGGCCCAAACCGAACGGTGCCCCACCTGGATTGTTCTTCAAGTGCGAGAGAGACAGCGCGGGGTTTGCGTGCCCCGCTTTCAGGACGTGCTGCCCCTGCCTCCACTCCGCGCGGAGTTATTGCGATTTGTCAAGGGGAGGACAGCAGATTACCTGGATTACGGGGCAGGCCCCCCGAGCCCCCCACTACACCGTGGGAAATGTCACGACAGGGAAAAAACGGGCAAAATGGAGCGCGGTGCGATACACTGTCGGGAGGAGGAAATGTTTGCGCCCGAAAAAAGGCGGTCTTGCGTTGAACGAAGCCTTAGATTTCTTTTTTTTGCTTTCGGGACACAGGTCGAGCAGCACATTTCCCCCACGCACAGACAGCCTTGGGCGCTCGGGACGGAGGTTCGAGTCCCGCCGCGGGTAAAACTTTTACTATTATTGTTTTGGCACTTGCTCATTTATTTTCATTGGGCCGGCATTCCTTCCAGCTGCGCTAATTTCTGCCAAAGGCCAAGGCTCCTCGCGCGTCGCGGTCTCCGTGCCTCTGCATCAAGTCTCCTGCACTGCAGCAGACGATTCCGAGAGTCGTTTTTCGTCGCTTGTCCCTCTCGCATCACGCGGGCGTCCCCGATAGGTGCGAGAAAACAGAGCGACAAAAACGACTCTCGGAATCAGTCTGGTGTCGGGGCGGCGTGGTCATCGCCATCATTGGACCGAGGCGAATAAAAAACGCACGAACACACACCCACCCCCGCACACCCGCGCGCGCCGAGCCGCATGCTTTAGACGTGTACTCGCATAATCTTCACTTTTCGAGTATAATTCCTTGGCACGACCGCTGCCGCGCCAATTCGTCGAACTAATTTAAAACGCATTCCGTTTTTTTTCTCTTTTCATTTCGTTAGGGATTCGCGATTCGCTCTCGACAGTGAATGGTCCCCCTCCGCGGGTCGCGCCCAAGCCGGCAAGGGGGCCAGGCGGCCAAGCGCGAGACTGATAGAGCGGTTACACCTTTTCGGTGGGAACGCTCCACCCGCGAGGGACCGCGAGGAAGCGACGCGAAAACCCCTCAAAAATTTTTCGCACGCAGATCCCGAACCGTGAAACTCTTCGCTCTGTCTCTCTCGCCCCCCAAAGGGATCGCCGCCCCACGAGTGCGAGAGAGACAGAGCGACCAACGCACAGCATTGTTCGGAATCAGCCTTTGCTGCTGCTATGCGCTACCGCAACAAGGTGTGTCCCTTCGAAAAATATGTCGATGCATAAAACACGTTGTGTGTTGTTGTTGTTTTGTTGTTTTTTTTGTGAGCGTTAGGTGGCGTTAGGGCGTCCGAATACCCGGGGCCCGGGTCCAGCTGCATTCCGCCTGCTACCCCTCCCTCTGCCCACCCCTCACGCGGCGCCGCGCCGGACGGACGCAGTCCCTGACGGCCTGCAGTCTGAGAGTCGCTCTGTCTCTCTCGCACTCACGTCGCACCCGTACGAGAGAGACAGAGCGACTGCAGTGTGCTGTCGGGAGTAATGGTGACCCGCGACTCCATGGCGACGCCAAGGACCTCCCGGAGGACAACACTCCCCGGGTCGCGGCACACTGTGGAGATACGTTTTGTCACCAGGCCCACAGGAAAATTTTTTTGCTCGAATCAAAAGTCTTGAAGATAGTTCAAATTTCATTTGCGGGTACCATTTTTAGAGTGCAGCACCCCAGTCGTGTCTGCAGGATGCAGGGCGGGGTACCCAAGTGCGATGATGTCGCGGTGTGCTGGCCGCGGGTCGAGGGAGTTCCCCACTGAGTCCGAGTCCCCCACGGGGGCCTTGCTTGGCTGGTGCGATTTCATCTGAGGGGAATGCGAGTGTCCCGTCGCCCACCTATACTTTGGCGAGTTTATGCGGCGCCTAGCCAGCCGCCCACCAGGGCCTAGCCAGCGGAGAGCAAACGCAGCCAGGCAGAGAGATCATTGTCCATCAGGGCAAACGCGCGCCATTATTTATTACATTCATTTGCCACGGCGGGGGCCCATAGGAATCAGGATCGTTTCTTTCAGAAAACCAACATCAAAACAGCAACAGCAGCAAAAAAAACAACACACAAGAAAAAAAAAAAAACTTTCACCAACTGCAGAATTCGTTTATTTGCGTTGGTGAGATTCGACTTCGAAACCCCGCGCACTTTTTTTTGACTTCTTCCCCCATGTGTCACAGAGATTGACACTTCAGTTTTTTCTACTTTTTTTTTTTTTTTTTTGCTTTTTTTTAAAAGCGGTAAAGTAAAATGACACCGCCACTTTAAAGCCCCCCTTCCTCAGTGGCGTGACCCATTCTGTATGGGAGTCCTGGCGGAAACAAAAAGGGGAAGGCCGGTGCGAGGTGTGTGTATGTGGGGGGTTTGGGTTGTCTTTCTTACATTGACCGCTCCAAAAAGGGGGCTAGTGGGAAACCGGTGCAGGACGCGGGCCAAAGGGGCAAAGGCACTCCGGCCTCTCCCGGGCTAAAAACCCCGGGGGGGTCGCGGGGGGGCTGGCGGGGGAAAGGGGGGGGGGGGGGGAGGGGGAGGCGAGGGGGGGGAGGGGGAGGGGGGGGGAGGGGGGGGAGGGGGGGGGAAAAAAGGGGGGGGGAAGGGGAGGGGAGGGGGTCGTTTCCGGAGCTGAGCCGCGCCGTGGTCCAGCGTTCTCATCGCCCTAACGAAAACGAATTCGCACCGTGGGCCGCTGATCTGATTGGCCGGGCGAGCGGCCCGCGCAATGCCCCGCCGCCTCTCCCTGTCTCTCTCGCACCGCCACCGCCCCGTCGCCTCGCCGAACTGGGGCGCCGTTTTGTCAGTCGATGATGGAGGGCGAGATAGGACATCTTCGTCTAGGGCCGCAAGCAGCCTTGGCGACTCGTCTGCGTCAGGAGTTTAGCAATGACGCCTTTTCGACGGACCAGTTCTGGTAAGAGGCTCCGGGAATAATTGAGGTACAAGCGCTGGGAAGTGGGTAACGACCGACAAAAAAAAAAAACGGCGGATGCCCGCGGTATTCGAACTATCAAACTTTTTCCTCTAAGTTTATTACCATACACACGCCGCTCTGCCAGACTTGGCCGGGCGTTCCTGAAATTGTTGCTGCAACAGATAGGCTCTCTATCAGATCATGATTTTTTTTAAAAACAAGAGCCGAAGTGGCTTCATTCTCTCTCAGAACATGTTTAAATTTTTTAAAAAAAAGAAATTGTAACATTGTTAATTGTTTTCTGTTTTTTTTCAGCCTGTCGCTTGGAATGCCGGCTGGGTCGCTGCAGGCGCGTCTTGTTGACACCCGCTGGGACCGGCAGGGACCGGCACGGCCATCGCGGCATCTATTGGGTGCGTACACTTTTTATTGTGACTGTGTGTGTGTGTGTGCCCAGCGTTCGTGTGTGCTCTGAGTGAGACCGTCTGGAAGTGCGTTAGTTTTACGATGCCACGGTGTGTTTGCCATTGCATTTAGAGGTCACAGTGCACGTTCGGCGTGTCTTTGGGGCGTGTCGCTCTGTGTGTGCTGTACCCATGATGCACTCGGAGGGGGGAACGTTTAAGTACTCTGTAAAAAGAGAGAGAGAGAGAGAGAGAGAGAGAGAGAGAGAGAGAGAGAGAGAGAGAGAGAGAGAGAGAGAGAGAGAGAGAGCGTTTTCGGCACGCACGGTCCTAATTGCCCCGCCCCCTCTTTTCCCTCTCTAGGTTTAATCAACCACTTGGCGCTGCGATCACGAGGCCGTCCAAGCACAGGCCGGGCACGGGCGGCGGTGAGATTTGAAACACGTGTTGCTTCGTTGGCCAACAGCTCGCCGCGACTCGGTGTGCCTTTTTCGGGTCGGCCGACGCGTTCCGAACACGGACGGATAGCGTGCAACAACCACAACAACGGAGTAGTGGTGGTTCCTCGGGACGGACAGACTTATAGGCCCAAGGAGAACATTAAGGAACAAAAAAAACCGTATTCTTTTGTCAAAAATTTTATCCGAGGACTCACACAATTTTGCGCATGCTTCCTCTTTAAACAAATCCGTGGCAAAAATTTAGCACAATTTTTTTTTTGTGTGCAAGTGAAAAACCTCTATGAAGATTAGTAAATAAAATTGCGCAAATACAGCTGTGTTTAAAAAAATAATTAAAAATCCAAAGAGGCAAATGTTTTTTTTTTGTCGGTTTTAAAATAATCTTTGAGTAACATGTGGGCACGTTATTGAGACGTACTGAGCGTGAGGGGCGTGAGAGAAGCAGAGAGAGAGAGAGAGAGAGAGAGAGAGAGAGAGAGAGAGAGAGAGAGAGAGAGAGAAGCGACTGCGATGCTCATTGTGCAAGGGGGCGGGCGTTGAGCAGGGCCCAGCAGGACCGGCAGGACACGCCCCGCAAACAACGTCGCTAATTGTCCATCCACGCCGCGCCTCGTCGCTCTGTCTCTCTCGCACGCGCACGAGACGCCCCGTGGGTGCGAGAGAGACAGAGCGCGACGCCTGTGCCCTGCTGCGTCGGGACAGAGCGACGCACCTCGAGCGGCGTGGTCGTGGTCGCGGTCGCGCCGGCGGACTGATTCCGTGAGTCGTGTCCGTCTCTCTCGCTCCACCACGGGGCGCGCCGTGAGTGCGAGAGAGACAGAGCGACGAAAACGCCTCTCGGGCCTAATGGTGCGAGCAGCCATGAAAGGACCGCTGACAAACGACTTGACGGCGGTGCGGCGGATCGCAGGCGGATCGCACAGGCGCCGCGGAGCTGAGCCGAGCTGAGCGCAGCGAGCGCAGCCGGCCAGCCGTAACACGACGCGCCTGGCGCTGTCTGCGCCGACCATTTTCGGTGATGCCGAAATAACGCAACGCGGGGAAAATGGATGTTTTGTTGTGTATTTAGCTTTAAATAACCTGGAGAGCAAGAAAAGTTTCGGTAAAAAAAAATAATCAGTGCCGAATTGAAGGTTCGAACGCAGAGACGAACCCCGTCGTTTCGCGAAGGGCAGCACTTTGTTCGTCCAGACGCGACGTCCGCCCAAAGCCGCTCACGAAACGTCAGAGTGATGGCGGCCCTTCGGTTTTGAAACGGCCCCGCCACCATTGCGGTTCGTCTCGTGCGGGCTGAACCTCGAAACCTCGAAACCTCGAAACCGGACACTTGTTCTAAAACCGTTTACAAATGACCCCCCTGCGGGACGTGCCCTCACCGCGACCCCCACTCCGGCCCCGCGATAAAAATTGTCGGTTTGTGTGCGTCACTTTCGCTCGTTACCTTGACCCGCTGCCGCCCTCTGGCTGCCTTTCATCGCTCTGTCTCTCTCGCACCCAGGGGACGCCCCGCAGGTGCGAGAGAGACAGAGCGACACTGCGAGGAAGTGCGCGGTCTCTCGTGCGGACGCTGGCGCCGTCGTCCTGCTATCGCGTTTCAAGCCTCAGCGGCAAAACGAAAAACTCTGTCGTTTCCCAAAGAAACGCGCCCAGATTACCGCGCTCTTAATAACGACTGTAATTGCTTACTTTAAACTCGGACCGGAAGCTAACGGGCGGACAGCGGGCCGACAGACAGCTGGCGGACAGATAGACGGACAGACGGAGGCGGGCTCCGTTAATTTCGTGACGTGGTGACAGCAGGCTCATGGAGGAAGACGGAATAAGGACCTCCGCCAGCGGGCCACTCCGGCAGGACACTCTGCAGGACACTCCGCGACACGCCGCGTCACGTTGGGGCCGGTCACTCTGGAGGACACTTTGTAGGACACTCTGCAGGACACTTTGCAGGACACTCTGCAGGACACTTTGCAGGACACTTTGCAGGACACTTTGCAGGACACTCTGCTGGACACTCTGCAGGACACTCTGTAGGACACTCTGTAGGACACTCTGCAGGAAACTTTAAGGACACTTTGCTCGAAACTTTGCAGGACACTTTGCAGGACAATCTGCAGAATATTCTGCAGGACACTCTGCAGGACATTCTGCAGGACACTCCACTTGAGTATGAACGCCTCGTCACGTTTCCGCGGCTGGCCCGGCCCGGCCGGTGCAACGAGTTGGAAACGGAACCGAGGACTTGTCCAGGACACTTTCCCAAGGCGGCGGGCAAGGCGGCGGGGCACTGGTCTGCCCTGGGCTGCCCTGGGCTGCGCTGGGCCCTCCAAATGACCATCCTCTCCTCTCCTCGCCGCGCCCTGCGCCTCGCCACAGACAAGGCACTCGAAAGGTCGAAGGGCCTGCCTCCCGATCGAGCGGGAAAGGGTCTATCAGCGAAGGGCCTCCGCAAGGACCCTCCCGAGAGAGTGCTTTTTTTAATTGGTGCCCGGGTACAAGTCAACGTGCGGGGCCTTCGATTTGGGGAACCTTATCGTTGTAGCGCCGGTGTGTGGCTCGCCTGAGAACAGGTAAACGGCTCATGGACCGCGGGTTTCGTAGTCAAGGATCATGGTTCGACACCGTGTCTGCGTTTTACTCTGCGGGCATAGAGAGTCACAATATAAGGTCGCGACGCGTTAAAAGAAAAAGTTCGAAAAAGGTAGCAGCAGGGTAGCTGACGGTCACGGGCTTCGCGTACCTGGTTGAACCGCTGCTGGCGGAGTAAGAGTTGCCCCCGCGCAAACCACACGGAACTTTGACATTGTGCCCCCTTTCCGTGCAGCTTGCACGTCGGCGGTCAGGAAGCCCCTCTACGCTGCGGCGCTCGCCGGCCGCCCTTCACCCAATCCCAGCAAACCACACGCAGCCACACTGTCACATGTCTCCCGTTTCCAAGGCGACGCTCCTCACCGACTATTGCGAGAGGGGTCGTCACGGCACCGATCGCTCGCGGCGCGGCAAAAGGAACGGGACAGAAATAATTCTCTTCTAATGTAAGCCGTGCCCGGCGGGGCAAGGCTTTGGGTCCAAGGTCTTTAGAGAGGGCAAGGCAGCCGGCGCTATCGCCTATCGCTTGCGATTTGACACCGCTATAGCTCCCCTGCAGCGTCGTGCCGTGGCGTGGCGCGCCGGCTTGCCGCTTGCGTAACCCATCGGACCAAATACAGTCGTGAGTTAGTCCTGCCTGTTCTCGGTACCCGCAGTCCACGCAGGCCGCTCTGGAGTCTGAGCACGCCGCCGCCGGAGCCCAGAAACGCACCTTGGTTAATGAGCCTCTCGTATAGCCGAGCGGTCAGGGGCGTTGACTTCTAAACTTGGTGTTCAAGGTTCGAAACCCGACGGCATGGGAATCTTTTCTCAACTTCATTTTTTTTTTCGACGCAGAAAGTCGCGGCCGGTGACTCAAACGCGCGGCCCCACGAGAGCGCCTCTGCTAGTTTATCGATGACGTCCAAACTGGTCCGATTTCTCTCGCCACGACATGATTGCTTGATTGTTCTGATTGTTCGTCACACCTTTCGCACGGACATCGTCGCCGGACGGACGCCCGACGCCCCCGCGATGAGAAGCCAGCGAAGCCAGCGCAGCCAGCCCGTCCGTCACCGTCGTTTTCACCCGGCGCGGGAAGAAACTTCCAATCAGGCTGCCGCGGTTTTTTTTTTCAACACGGGGAAACGAAATTATTATTATTGAATCGGGGAGGAGAGGAGAGCGGAGGGCACCAAGCTGCACGCCGAACGGAGAGGATGCGGACGTACGCTTGTGCACACTGTACCAAGAACTGTGTGCTTAAGGCATTGGTCAAAACGGGGACAAATGTATAGAAATCGTGGTTTTTGCTGACTTTCAGCGACCACAGCGTCTAATCCAAGGCGGAAAATGGCACTCCCTTAAAGGGTAGGTCGTCTGTGGACCCATAGCACGCCTTTCCTACGGAGTGCGATTTCCCGCCTTAGTTTGGGAGCAACTTTGCCGCAAAGTTGGTCGAAATGTTGACACAACGAGAAATAGTCCTTCTGCGGCCCCTTTGGGCCCCCAATGCGGGCCCCTTCGGCCCCTTCGTCGGCTTACTGTCGTGCCTCGGACGCGGCGGCCTTCGGGCAGGCAGCTCAGGGACTGGACCACCCGCGGTCTGGACCAGGCCGCGCGGATCAGTCATTCCATTCATTCATTCAGTCATTTCCAGACGCACAGTGGGCCAGAAGACCGGTGGAGGCGGCCGAAACTCTAGACGCGTTTTGAGCTCCAGAGTCGCTGAATGCGACTCGAACCCAACGTGTGACCCCACCAATGGATTGCTCTCCGAACGAGGAATCCATTGGTGGGGTCACACGTTCGGTTCGAGTCCCATTTAGCGACTCTGGAGCTCAAAACGCGTCAAAAGTTTTGGCCGCCTGCACCGGTCTTCTGGCCCACTGTGCAGGGCTCACCGCGCGGCGCGGACTCGCTCCGGAACGCCTGTAGCTCCCTCTGTCGCACTCACAGGGCGTCTCGGAGAGGTGCGAGAGAGACGCGTCTCTTTGGACCCGCTGTCATGACTTAACTCAACGGGGCTCCAAGACGGAACGAACCTGAAGCTCAGCGACGGCCACCGACTCAATGCCAACAAAGAACTTACGAAAAATCATTTTTCAACGAAAACAGAACAATGGTGGGGTGTTGAACCTGGGCGTGCGCGGTTACATACACCATCGGCGCAACGCGAGGACGTTGCCGCGTCCGCCGCGGTCCGCGAGGCTTCGGCGTTACGGCGTCCCGGCACGGCACACAGTGGGCCAGAAGACCGGTGGAGGCGGCCGAAGCTCTGGACGCGTTTTGAGCTCCAGAGTCGCTACACTGGGCTCGAACCGAACGTGTGACCCCACCAATGGATTCCTCGTGCGGAGAGCAACCCATTGGTGGGATCACACGTTCGGTTCGAGTCCTGCTTAGCGACTCTGCAGCTCAAAACGCGTCTAGAGTTTCGGCCGCCTCCACCGGTCTTCTGGCCCACTGTGCGGCACCCAAGACGGTACCGGCCACAATGCCTCCGTCTCCCTCGCGCCCCCACCGCACGGCCCGTGCGCTCGAGAGAGACGGAGCACTGTAAAACGGCACGGCAGTGCGGTACCGGGGCAGGCCGGCCACAAAAGGATGTGCTCACCAACAACTTGCGTCACCACGCTGCAGTGCGTGGGCGGTGCCGAAAGCCCGCAACCACGAACCCATCGCGCCTTTAGCTCATTTTTGTTTTTCCACGTTGAGAGGTAATTATCGACTCGATCTCGTTCTTCTTCTTCTTCAAGGTGATCTGCAAGACTGATCCAGAGAGGGAGAGCTTGTCTCCCTCGCACCCGTATGGAAGGCCTCGTGAGTGGGAGAGAGACAGAGCCAGGTCGCACAATGGACCGGGCGGTGCGCGCACGGGTCAGCGTCGGGATGCGCGTGGGAGAGAGAGAGAGACGTCCTGGACCAGCCGCGCCGTGGAACAAAACCAGGGAAGTGCCCCGCAGGCTGCAGGCAGGGCTGTACCCTTTCTGCTGGAAAGTCCGCCAGGATGGCGACAGGCGAGCACCCCGCACTCTCCCATGCCGCCGCCGCGGCTCTCAGCGAATTCTATTCTTCCTCGCCTCTCGGTCGGTCCGGCGATGGCATGGCGCGGTCGCTCTGTCTCTCTCGCACTCATGCGGCGTCCCGTATGGGTGCGAGAGAGACGGAGTGAGTTGGCACTGCCCGACGCTCTCGGTGTCCTTCTCCATGCTTTCTCCGGCCGTTCCGCGCGTTCCGCGACTCATCTCGCGGTGGCCTTTGCCTGCGAGGCTTGCGTGCTGCACACTGTGCTGCGTGCCTCGGAAGCCGCGGCCGTAAAGCTGCGCCGGTCGCTTTTTCATGCAATAGTGCTTTGGGGATGATGCACGCGTCGCGGCCTCCAAGCCGGCGCGGCCGCGATGCTTGTGGCCGCCGCTTCCCGCGCTCGCCGCTCTCTGGGCGGACATCTCCGTCTTTACGACGCACAGTGGGCCAGAAGACCGGCGGAGGTGGCCAAAACTCTAGGCGCGTTTTGAGCTCCAGAGTCGCTAAATGGGACTCGAACCGAACGTGTGACCCCACCAATGGATTGCTCTGCGAACGAGGAATCCATTGGTAGGGTCACACGCTCGGTTCGCGTCCCATTTAGCGACTCTGGAGCTCAAAACGCGTCTAGAGTTTTCATCGCCTGCAGTCTGCTGCACGCTGGACCGCACCAGCCTATCCTGGAGATTACACGCAGCTTCGCTTTTTGCAGTGACTGTACTACTTTGGGGCGCTGGCCGTACCTCCCCGGCAAAAAGTGTCCCTTTTGGAGGAGTGCGGCACCGAAGGGCCGACCGACCGCACGCCGCAACGGGACCTGCCTAGTGGTAGCGAAAGGCCCTGGTCCGGCATTGCCCCCCCCCCCCCCCCTCCCCGGCACGCCTGGTCCGGTCCGCCTCGCCTCGCCGCTCGCGCGGACTTGAGGGGGCGAGGCAAGGCGAAGCAAGGCGCGTGAAAACACCAGGCCTACCACCTAACGGGCTAGTCCCAAATAGAAAAAGAAATCAAATTAATCTTTCGGTCCTATCACTCGGGCCAATTCTTCTAGCCCCATGCGTGGGTCGTGATACAGAGGGGCCAATAGCATGTAGATTCCGGGTCCTTTTGTTGTTGTTGTTGTTGTTGTTGTTGTTGTTGTGCTGGTCGTCGTCAAGGCCGCCGTGACGGACGACGCGCTTGCAGCACACTGCAGCACGCAGCCTAATTCTCACCGTCCGCCCCACCGGCAGACTGATTCGTCGTTGTCTCTCTCACACCAATAAGTGACGCCCCACGAGTGCGAGAGAGACAGAGCGACGAAAAGTCGACTCTCTCGGAATCATCAAGTCCGCCGCCCACGCACCGTCGTTGTCACGATTTAGCATTAGCGGGCGCGCCGTGGAAGGCGAGGCCATCCCTTGGGCAACCGCATGCTAATGTCGCCGCACCACCCCACTGTGCGAAACCAGAACAACGACCGCCACACTGCAAGTGGTTGTACCTCGTCAACGACGAGCCATGTAGAACAACCAACTTTTCTGGCCGTGGAGGGCTTAGCACATGTTGGGAGCGCCCAAATTCCTTTTGGTCTGGTGCGGAATTTGACAGGGTCTTTTTTCTTGCACTTTTGTGGGTGATTGTGTTGTGCTGCCGCTAACTGGTGAACGTGATTGTTGCAGGAATGCCGCAGTGATGTCGTCGTGGCTGGGCACGGCGGTGGGGGCGGCGCTGGCCGCGGTGCCGCTGTGCTGGACGCTGCTGGTGCTGCACCGCCACCGCGCGGCCTGGCTGCCCCTGGACGTGCTGCTGGCCGCGCTGGCGTGGCAGGGCCTGGTGCAGCAGGCCGCCGCGCTGCTCTACTCCATGCTGGCCATGTCGCTGCTGGGGCCCTTGCAGTGGTGCTCGGCGGCGACCTGGCTGCTGGCCTCGGGGCAGACGCTGCAGGCGGGCACGCTCGTGACGCTGGCCGTCACCAGACTGCTGCGGCTCCGCCGGGTGACGGCGGTCACGCGCACCCACGTCATCTACCACCTCATCTCGCTGACGCTGCTGTCGGCGTGCGTGGGCATCACGGCGGTGCTGGCGCGCGAGGAGGACGTCGCCGCCGACGTGACCTGCGCGTTCCTGCCGCACGAGCTGGACCCGCGCTACGCCGTGCTGTCGCTGGCCCTGCACTCCGCCTTCATGCTGGCCGCCGTGCTGGTGGCCGGCGTCTGCTGCTGCCTCAAGGCGCCGCAGCACGACAAGCACGCCTTCGACAACTCCACCGTGGCGCGCCGCATGTGCCTGCAGGGGCTGCCGCTGCCCGGCCGCCACCGCCGCCGCCAGCACAAGAACCAGGCCCTGTTCACGTCGTCGTCCGACCTGTCCTCCGCGCTGTCCGACTTCTCCTCGGTGTCCGCCTCCGCCATGGGCACGCTGGGCAACGGGCCGCAGGGCAGCAAGACGTTCTGGAACTACGCCGTGCCGAGCCGCTCCAACCCCAGCACCCTCGGCAAGGACGACCCGCCCTCCATCACGTTCCTCAACGGCCTGCCGCCCGGCTACCCGTCGGACACCCTGGAGAAGGCCCTCGGCCCCCTCAACCTCAACAACGTGGGGCCCTACAGCGCCGAGTCCACGCTGGGCCGGCCCGGGCCGCTGGGTAGTGGCCTCGGCAGCCCGCTCAGCGCCCTGCGCGCGCTGGACAACTCCATGGAGCACAGGTAAGCCGTCACCGAGCACCGTGGGCCGGACGATCAAAACTCTAGACGCGTTGTTTTGAGCTCCAGAGTCGCCAAACAGCACTCGAACCGAACGTGTGACCTCACTAATGGATTGCTCTCCGAACGAGGAATCAGGGAACGAGGGGTCACACGCCCGGTTCGAGTTCCGTTTAGCGACTCTGGAGCTCAAAACGCGTCGGGAGTTTCGGCCGCCTGTGCCGTCTTCTGGCCCAACAGTAGCACTCCACCAGCGAGCTGACCCACGACGCCCTGCTGCAGGTACCGGGAGCTGTGCGGCGGCGACTACAGCGACTCGACCCTCAACAGGGACTTCGGCCTGCGCGCCAACAACTGGACGTCGGACAACTCGTACATGTCCACCACCACGTCGCCGACGTCCACCAACAGCCGGGCGCCCTGCCTGAGCCGCCAGCCGCTGCGCCCGCTGGGCCCGCCGCTGCAGCTGCCGTGCGCCGTGCCCGAGGAGGTGGACGACGACGAGGACCTCCGCCTGCCCACCGCCCTGGCCGTGCTGGCGCTCTGCTACCTCACCAACCACATCCCCATCCTGGTGAGCCACAGCCTTTCAAGGAAGCACAGTGGGTCGGAAGACCGTGATGGAGGCGGCCATAACGCTAGACGCATTTTGAGCTCCAGAGTCGCTAAGTGGGACTCGAACCGAACGTGTGACCCCACCAATGGATTCCTCTCCGAACGACGAATCCATTGGTGGGGTCACACGTCACCCGACGGAGCCCCCTACGAGTGTGACAGAGACAGAGGCGTAATCAGTGGCGCCTCGTGAGGTCCACGCTCTCCAGCGCCACGGTCCGCTGGACTCGGCTCGGGCGTGATCCGCCCCGCCGGCGCTCGGCTCGTCCCGAGATCCAAACTCATTTTTCTGTCATCACGTCGCCGGGCGTCGCTCCGTCCTCGTCGCTCTTGCCACGCCACGCCGGGCTGTGCGACAGAGAGAGAGAGAGAGGGGCCCAACGGGAGCGCGCAGAGCCGGGTGCCGATCGGACGCGCTTGGTTTGCAGTGGGGCGTCCTTTCGCTTCGCCCCCCTCCCCTCCCCCTTTCCTTTAGCTCCACCCTGGTGCCACCGCGCCGCAGAGGCATTAGGCCTGGCATAAAGGATGATGATGGCAAAGTGGACGGACATCGCGTTGCACGGCGCGGCCCGGCGCGGTACGGCCCGGCCCAGCACCGTGCTTCAAACAGCCACAATGGGACTCGAGTCGTGCCCAAGTGCCAAGCCTGCGGAGTGTGTTGCGGCTCCAGCAGTCGCTGCCTCCATCCATCCAGGGCCGACAACCTGGCAGAACCGCTGCAAAAAAATAAAAATGAAAACTAAGAGAAAGAAAGATTCAAAAATAACCACAGCAAAGAAAAACACAAAAGATCTAACTCAAAAACGAAAATCAATCATCGAAAACGAAAACATTCTCAGTATTTGAACCAGGAATTTTGAAGTGGGAATCGCATCATCTTACCGGTGCGGCTACGGCCAGGCGGCGGCAGGGTACCGGTCCGTCGAAGGCTTGGCGAAGGCAGCGCTAGCCATCCCAGGAATGCTCTGTCCCGACTCACCGCCTGCGCAGCCTGCGCCGCTTTTTTGCCGGTCTGCCCGTTCACTGTGCCACTGGCACTGCGGACTGTGGAGCGATTCCGGGCGGCGCTCTGTCTCTCTCGCACTCGTACGGGACGCCCCGTGAGTGCGAGAGAGACGGAGCGACGAAAGCACCCGTCTGGAAGGCTGGAGCCGCACGCGGATCGCATTATTATTTATTCTCAAAGCGTCTCATTGAATTTGCCCCCGATCCGCGGCAAGGCGCGGCGCACCGTGGCCTTCCTGGTCCGCGCAACAGAACGAGCCAGCACACCGTAAACACCGAAAAAGCGCCTCGCCGAACGAGGCGTGTACGGTGCGAGCCACGAGCGTCATGCATTAAATAACTCTGAAATGAATTTCGTGCGTTTTTCACCGAGTGCTCTCCGCGGCTGTAAAACGCACCGCTCTCGAGATAATGGCACTTTAACGAAACCCTAAACGGATTTTAGTCACGACCGCGAACCGCGCTGGCCACTGCACTGGCGGGCAACCGCGTCGTGTCCGTACCGAGCCTTGCGGTCGCGGCGGCGCACGGGGCGCACAGTGGGCCAGAAGACCGGTGCAGGCGGTCAAAACCCCGGACGCGTTTTGAGCTCCAGAGTCGCTAAGCAGGACTCGAACCGAACGTGAGACCCCACCAATGGATTCCTCGTTCGGAGAGCAATCCATCGGTGGGGTCACACGTTCAGTTCGAGCCCTTTTCAGCGACTCTGGAGCTCAAAACGCGTCTAGCTCGTTCTGGCTGCGCAGAAGCACGCGCGCGGCCGGCACGGTTACGGCGTGGGCGCACCGCGGTGCACTGGCCGGGCACATACTGGAGCAGGGCAGAGCAGGGCGTGGTGGAACTGCTGTCTGTTCGGCAGCCACCGTGCGTGGCGGCCGTGATGAGCTCACATGTAGCGATTCGCGCCGCCTCGGCCCCAGCACGCACACACACACACACACACACGCACGCACGCACACACACACACGCACACGCGCACGCACTGCACAGTAACACACTCAATCTGTGGCAGAGGCAACGGTATCTGATGCCAATGCCCCTGTGTTACCACCAGAGGAATGGAATCACTATGATCCAAAATCCAAACCATGCACAACAGAGGCCAAAAAAAAAAGAAGAAGAAGAAGAAGAAGAAGAAGAAGTTTGCTGGAAAAGTGTTGTCTGGTGAAGATTTTCCCGGATTTTCCTGACAACACTATAAGAATTGACATCACCACAATTTTCACATGGATTGTTAGCCGGAAATGCAAGAAAAAAATCATTCCACTTTGCCAAAATTTTAGTCATTATTTTATGACGTATTCTTTGCAAGCGCACGCACCTCACAGTGTGCCGCGCGTCCGGGAGGCGGACCTCCCCGAGTCCGGAGAGTCGGCTCTGCGTGAAAAGCACCTTGATCCGCCGTGTCCGTCTTTCTGGGCTTCTGGTGTGGTGGTGCTGCGTTTCCGAGTCTTTCATTCATTACCGGTGCTGTTTCGCGATCCAGTGCGTCGGGCCGTGAGTGTGTGTGTGTGGGGGGGGGGGGGTATATGTGTGTGTGTCCGTCTGTCCGTCCGCTCGCTTCGCGCCACGCACCACCACCACCGGTCCTTACACAATCCCAAGTATGCCGGCGTCATTTTCGGTATTCCGTGCGCAGTGGGGCTGCACTGTAGGCCCGGGCGGGTCCGGCTCGACCGAGGCAGAGCCAAGGCAGAGCCAAGGCTGCGTGATACTCGAGCAAAAGATGCGCCGCACTTGGGGCACTCGTTACGGCACTGGGAGAAAGCGTCGGCCAGCCGCGTTCGCCCCGATGGCGGCGTTAGGACCGGATATGAAAGCCCCGCGGAACGGGATCGGATAATGCGGGCAAATATGAGGCGTTGCCGCGCGGTGCCACGCGGCGCGCGCATTTCAAGCAGACGAGCCGGCCTTCCGGGAAGGGTTATGCTGACAACAGGCCGTGGGTAGGCGTTCAAAGTCGAAATGATTCATAAATTTAAATTTTGGTGAGAGGAGGATTTTTTTTTCGGGCCGGGTCGCTTGCATACAGCGTTAATAGACGCGTGAAGTGGCATGGAAAAGCAAAGGCACGAAGATCGCCGCACAGAAAGCAGTCGGTCAAAATTCGCGCCGTGCTAATGCACCCAGCGGACAGGCCGGGCAAGAGCAAGGGTCCTCCTAGAGCGCCGCCGTGTCCAGCAAGTCATTTCTGCTAGTTTCTTTTCCTCTCCGCTCTGCCCCGAGAGCAGTGTGTCCGTGCAAAGGCGGCAGGTTACGGATGGTTATGCCGGCTAAACTAGACGGTCATGCCGGGCGCCCTGCTCCCTTCGCTCCGCGCGCCCACTCGCCCAAAGCCGCGCTTCCTCTCCGCCGCCTTCCTCCTTCCTTCGCTCCGTCTCTCTCGCACCCGCACGGAACGCCCCCGTGAGTGCGAGAGAGAGGGAGCGACGCCTGCAGATTCTGTCATCGCGGCGCGGAAAGCGGCAAAAGTGCCCCGCGAGTCCAGTGCGGCGGCCTGCCTGCTCGCCCTGCTCGCCGCCGAGAGGGGAGGGGAGGGGGCACCGGACGTGAAAGCAGTGACATTTAGGAAGGAACGCAATGCCGGCGGTAACGGGGCAGGTCACGTGACACTCGAACAAAAAAAAAAAAACGAAATAGCGGCACCCTGCGAGAAGTGCCTCCATGGGCTTTCATACTCCTTCACCACCGAAAAAATAATGGCAAAAAAGGAAAGCAAATATCGCAGGTCAATTTTTTTTTTTGCAGCGTTTTTATGTTGCTGTTTTTTTTTTGCGATTTAAGTTGTACACTGGACCGTTAATTCGCTCGCGGCTTCATCGGGGGCACATCTGTTTAAATCGCGCTCTCCCTGCAAAAGGAAACCCAACGGCCCCTCCTCCGGGGAAGGCCATAGGACGCCGTGGCGAGAGGCGAGGCGAGATAGGTCGGGTCGTGTTTCTATTATTCGCCAAAGCGGTGAGTAGCGGCCGGGATAGATAACCATTTGTTGGCCAGTCACGACCCCTCGCGGGGCCACTGTGGGCCCCGTTGGCGCCATGATGGGGCAGCACACGTCGCGGACCGGCCGCTCCGTCTCTCTCGCACTCGCGGGGCGTCGCGGGCCGCGGGCTGCGGGTGCGAGAGAGACAGAGAGAGACAGAGTGGCCACGCGTAAGCGCCCCGGGATCATTTGCCGCGCCCTTCTATATTTGCTTTCACCGGAAGCCCTGCGTGGCTTGGCGACGGCCCCGCACTGGTAATCGGCCAAGTGCATTTCCCGGCCGCCAGAGGGTCGATCCGCCCCGCGGGGACCAATTTTCCGGTTTCTTTTCGCCGCCGAAGAAACCACTTCATCAAAACGCGGACGAGGCTAGTGGGAATGTCTGCTCTAAAAATCTTGGCGTGGCTAACTGGCTCCCCATTATTCGTCTGGCGGCCGCTATCTGTCGCACAGTGGGCCAGAAGACCGGCGGAGGCGGTCAAAATCCCGGACGCGTTTGGAGCTCCACAGCCGCTAAATGGGACTCGAACCGAACGTGTGACCCCACCAATGGATTGCTCTCCGAACGAGGAATCCATTGGTGGGGTCACACGTTCGGTTCGAGGCCTGCTAAGCAAGTCTGGAGCTCAAAACGCGTCTGGAGTTTTGTCCCACAGTGTGTCGCCAAGCTAAGCCTGACTGTGGCTCCGCGGCAACCCGATGCACTCCTGCAGTAGCCCCACGTGAGCTTGGCATTGCACCGCCACTTTCTCCGTCCGCTGCCTGCATCACGCCCAGGGGGCTTCCAGCCTTGCTTCCAGCGGCGCGGGAAGGGGAAGGGGGAGGGGGGAGGAGTCCTTGGGTCATTAGTCCCCGCGTCGGCAGGTGCAAAGGGATGCGTGCCACCGCGACCTCCTGGCGGGCGACCTCCTCGCAGACCATAGAGAGCCTCAGGAATGCGCCCGAGACATCGCCGAGACGAGCTGCTGGAAGAAAAAAGAAAGAAAAAAGTAGGCTGCCGCAATTACCACCATCCCGCTATGCCGGGGAAATGGGTGGTCGGCACAGCGTTTTGAGCTCCAGAGTCGCTGAACATGACTCGAACCGAACGTGTGACCCCACCAATGGATTCCTCGTTCGGAGAGCAGTCGATTGGTCGGGTCACACGTTCGGTTTGAGTGTCATTTAGCGTCTCTAGAGCTCAAAACGCGTCTGGAGTTTCGGCCGCCTGGCCCTCTGTGCGCTGTGTGAAACTAGGGCAGTGGTTCTCAACCTTAGGGTCGCGACCCCAAGCGGGGTCGCGAAATTTTTTTAAGGGGTCGCGGCGATGCTGGGGTCGTGTTTTAGGCCGATTTTAAGCAGCCACTGCGTCTGATCCGAGGCGGGCATTTTGCTCCCTCAACGGGCAATCGGTCTTTGGACCTTCCTTTAGCATGCCTTTGTTACGGAGTGCGATTGTCAGTCTTAGTTTGGGAGCAGTATTGTCTCAAAGTCGATCAAAACGGTCGCAAGTGTCTTTGAAAAACCGTTGTGACTATTTTGGTCAACTTTGAGACAATACTGCTCCCAAACTAAGACTGATAATTGCACTCCGTAACAGAGGCATGCTAAAGGAAGGTCCAAAGACCAACTGCCCGTTGAGGGAGCAAAATGCCCGCCTCAGATCAGACGCTGTGGCTGCTTAAAATCAGCCCAAAACACGATTTTTCACAGACATTTCTGAGCGTTTTGGCCAACTTTGAGACAATACTGCTCCCAAACTAAGACTGATAATTGCACTCCGTAACAAAGGCATGCTAAAGGAAGGTCCAAAGACCAACTGCCCGTTGAGGGAGCAAAATGCCCGCCTCGGATCAGACGCCGTGGCATGTTAAAGGAGGGGTCCCGTGGGGTCGCGAAATTTTTCCTGGGGGTCGCGGAAATTTTTGGCTTCAAATTTGGGGTCGCGAGCCGAGAAAGGTTGAGAGCCGCTGAACTAGGGGCCCCAGTACGGCGCCCTGTGATCGGTCGGACTTCCTCCGTGTCTGCACCATCGGCACGGCATCCGGTTGGGCGGCGCCGCGGTGTCGGAGTCCGGCGCCGCGGAGGGAGTCCCACCAAGTGGCTGAAGGACGTCGTTCGGTTCTGCTTTCTTGGCGCGCTCTTTGAAGGCCGCGCGACCACCGCCCTCCGATTAGCACATTCCCCGCCGACCGCGGCGCTGATGGAAGGCGGTGGGGTCGTAAAGAGGCAACGAGGGGGTGCGGTGCACTGTACGACGTCCAGGAGTGTCCTGGGCACCCTAGTTTGAGGGAGCAGCTCTGTGACTTCCAGTGCCAAAATTAGAAATGTTTCTTTCGCTTTGGAGATGGTTGGGATTATTGAAATTCCTTCGAAGAAAAATAAGTCTTCCGGAAAAAAATTAGAGCAAGCAGAAACCAAAAGCACAAGGTGAGGATTTGAACCACAACTCCCTTGGTATCGATTTCGCAGACTTACGTGTCCACACGGCTACTCGGATACCCTCTCCCGGTTTCTGGTTACCGCCGGTTGCGCCGAGCGCGTGTTAAACTCGACTCCCATTTCCGCGTGCTTTTCATACGACACGGCTAACCCAATTCCGAGCGGCGAGCCAGCGCACCGCACAGTGGGCAAGAAGACCGGTGAGTTGGTCAAAATCCAGGACGCGTTTTGAGCTCCAGAGTCGCTAAACGGCACTCGTACCGAACGTGTGACCCCACCAATGGATTCCTCTTCGAACGAGGAGTTCATTGATGGGGTCACAAGTGGGTTCGAGTCCTGTTTAGCGACTCTGGAGCTCAAAACGCGTCTGCAGTTTCGGCCGCCGGCGCCGGTCTTCTGGCCCACTGTAAGGGATCTCTCCTCCTTTTGGGCGGCCAGCAAACATGCGGCACGCGCGGCAGGTGCAGTGGAAGGGCCTGCAGCTGCCGCGATGTTGTTGATGGCGGTCTGGCTGGATGTTGTTGGGGCAGCCGGAGTCCGGCCGGACTGTAGCGGACCGCCGCCGCCCTAGTAAAGCCACGCCACGCCTCACCACGCCACGCCTCGCCACGCCACGCCACGCCGCGCCACGACCGATCGCTCCCCGCGATATTCCAAACTCGTTCGCTTGCCCGAGGGTCCCGGCGTGGCCGGCTTGCCACGGCCAGGGCGATCCTCTCTCCAAAGCCTCGCAACTTGACCCGCCGGGCGGAGCACTTACGCGCACCGCGCCGAAATTCAAAACCGAGTAGCCATCGGGTAGGCGCTGGCCTTGATCCCCATTTCCGTGTGCCACCGTCGTATGTTGCCCTGCCCCATTCAGAGGTTCCCCCCACCGCCACCTGTTTGTATCTGTCAATCTCTGCGGCGGGTCGCGTCCCAGTTCCTCTACCTGTCCAACGCTTCGTTTGGCCGGCCCGCCCGCCGCCCGATAGAAATGATTGACCCTGTTAGAAAGGCGGGCGCCAGTTGGAGAGGTGCTTCTTAGTTGCGGCTGGCTTCGGGGAACTGAGGTTCTGGAGGGACCTTTACTACTGGCGACTGGGGAGATTTGACGAACTGAGCCGCGATTTTGGGGTGTCTGTCTTTACTGCAGTTGACTCGTGTTGACTATGCAGATCTGAAGAACTGAGTTGTGACTATGAAGTGTCTATACTACTGCTGGCTTTGGGGATCTGAAGCACTGAGCTGTGACTATGGAGTTGGAGTGTCTATACTTCTGGCGACTTAGCGAAGCTGAAGAACTGAGCTGTGACTATGAAGTGTCTATACTACTGGTGACTTTGGGGATCTGAAGAAGTGAGCTGTGACTATGGAGTGTCTATACTACCGGTGACTATGGTGAACCGAGGAACTTCAGGCACAATATTACATTCACTGACGAAAACAAATTAACTGTGTCATTATGTCGTCACTCGGTTCCCAGCCACCCTCTCGTCCCTTTCGCTGCTTCACTTTCTTCCGGCCGGACTGCTGGGAGCCGCGTATGCAAATGGCGCGCCTGACCCGTTTTCCGGGAATGAAAATAAGAAATAGAGCAAAGTGAATGTGCTATCGATGAAGCTGGCGGGCTGTCTCTGGCGAAGACGAATCGACTCATCCTCTCGCTTTCGGATTTTTCTGTTTTTCTTACTCGTTTGGTGGTCTGTTCTTTCTGCTTTTCTCCCGTTCATTAACTTGTTTTGTGACTGGTTCCTGCACGTAACTCTCTTTAGCGGTTTATTTCAACCTTATTTGTTTCATCCCAATTCAATGAAACGTGGCTCAGATTGAGTAACATTAGGTCAAATTACGGTAATTTTTTTTTTTTTTAAAGGGCACTTAGGATTTGCATTGATATTTTCTCCTTGTAGTCCTTCATGTAACACCAGTAGCAGCGCCTCACAGTCTCTTTCACAGTGTCTTTCCCCTGCTGCTTGTGGGTACGACAAAAAAGAGCAGAGAGAGAATATTAATTAAACACAAACAGGAGTGCAAAAAAAGGGCATCCCCAGGCTGAGGAACATGCTCCGGCAGTGGTCTAGCCGCCGCGGCGCGCCGCAGCGAGGCATCAGGCAGTTACACACATGTTGCTCACCTAACGGAAGGCGAGACCGCAAAGCCGCACAAGAACACCGCACAGAGGGGGGGGGGAGGGGGAAAGGGGAGGGGGCGGCTGGGGGAGAGGGGGGGATTAGCCTGCAACCTTTATACGGGAAATGGAACGCCAGACCAATTACTGGCGTCCATCAAAACGGAAACGCGGAACGGATCAAAGGCAGCAAAAGCCCTGGGAGCGCGCAGTGGGCCAGAAGACCGGCGGAGGCGGCTGAAATCTCGGACGCGTTTCGAGCTCCAGAGTCGCTTAAGGGCACTCGAACCGAACGTGTGACCCCACCACTGGATTGCTCTCCGAACGAGGAGTCTATTGGTGGGTGACACGTTCAGTTCGAGTCCTTTTTAGCGACTCTGGAACCTCAAAATCTACGTAAGTCAAATATCAGTGTGTTTGAAACCCATGACTGATCCCTTCGCGGCCCCACCGACGGCGGCGCGGAGTATGTCCGCCGCCACCTGTTGAACGCGCGTACGCGGGGCATACGCCCTTCCGCGGCGATACCCCGCGCGCCGCCCTGCGAGGAGTATCTACCGCGGCCAGGCAAGGGGAGCGCAGGGTGTTATTATTTAGCAGAATCGCGCAGTAAATTCAACTCCGCCTCGTCCGTGATAATCCCCGCTTTTGTACCTCCGAAGGTCCAAAAGAGTGAATCTCATCTTGTTTTCGAGGGGCTCGGCACACCGTAAAGCACACTCTGTTGTCACGGGCCGACGAAAGTAGCCGCTCCAGCCGGAAGCACACTGGAAGCAAGACGCCAACTTTTTTTTTTTTGTCCGTGGGGCCGTGCGTGACTAAGCGCCAAACACGAAGACGGCCCGGAAACCTCGTTATGAATTCAGACACATAAATTGGCGATCCGCCGCGGCGAAGGAGAAAGAGCACCACACTACGAACCGGTGGTGATGGCGATACTCGCCTAGTCGTTCCGACGGACCGCCTGGGCTGACCACCTCGGCAGCACACCTGTGGGCCACCTCCGGGGAGCCCCACCGTCCGTCCTGGACCTACAAGCACCTGCAGAAGGCGCCAGAAAGACGTTCCTTCAACCGAGAAAATACACCTACAGGGACACAGATTGCAAGGAACTTTTCTCGGTTCGAGACACGACGTTGTTTTTGGGTGTACTGCACGTTCACTGGCCCACTCGGGGCAGAACGACGGGCCACTCCAGGTATCTAAGTGGCCCACCAGGCCCGCGGTGGGCCGGGTCGTGGTGGGCCGGGCTGTCGGGCTTGGCTCGTCCAGGCGTGCTCTACTGGACAGCCAATAAGCGGCGAGGCGGGTGGCCTCTGGCTCGGCCTGGCTCGGCTTGCCTTTGGCGCTCGTCGGCCTCCTTCCTGGAGTGACTATGGAGAGCCTGGAGAAGAGCCGCTCCCCGCGTCGGCCGAGTAGTACACTGCCAAGAACAGCGGCTGAGGGGGTTTCTAGTGGACTGTACTCGAAGCCAGCGGCACAGTGGGCCCGAAGACCGGTGGAGGTGGTCGTAATCCCGAACGCGTTTTGAGCTCTAGAGTCGCTAAGGGGTACTCGAACCGAATGTGTGCCCCCACCGATGGATTGCTCTCCGAACGAAGAATCTATTGGTGGGGTCACACGTTCGATTCGAGGCCTGTTTAGCGACTCTGGAGCTCAAAACGCGTCGAGAGTTTCAGCAGCGAACGCCGGCCCTCCGGCCCACTGTGCGCTGTTCTTCTCGAGGTGTATCGCTCAATCCGCCGGCTCTTTTGCAGTGCTCTAGCCGCGTGGGAAAGTCCAGGCGCACTGAGCGCGGGGGAGGCAGGAGTGTGACCCGACTCGGCTCCGCTCGGCGCGGCTCGGCTCGGCACGAATCAGCGTTTATGAAAACGCATCCCGCGGAGTGACCGGGGAAACCTTTGGCCTGCCTGCCTGGCCGCCTGCCTGCCGCAGGCCGCGGGGGCGTGCCGGTGATAATGTTGGCACGTCTTCGCGTGGAGCGGCAATCTGCGCAGCGAGCCGCGCGCTGCCCTGCCTTGCCCTGCCTTGCCCTGCCTGCCTGCCCTGCCTTGCCCTGCCTTGCCCTGCCTTGCCCTGCCTCGCCCTGCCTTGCCCTGCCTTGCCCTGCCTTGCCCTGCCTTGCCTCTGCCCTGCTGCCTGCCTGCCCTTGCCCTGCCTGCCCTGCCTTGCCCTGCCTCGCCCTGCCTTGCCCTGCCTTGCCCTGCCTTGCCCTGCCTTGCCCTGCCTTGCCCTGCCTTGCCCTGCCTTGCCCTGCCCTGCCTTGCCCTGCCTTGCCCTGCCTTGCCCTGCCTTGCCCTGCCTTGCCCTGCCTCGCCCTGCCCCGGCGCGTGCAGAAATCTGCATACATTTGGACCCTTTGTGGAGGCCGTCCTGCCGCGTCTCGGCGGAGCGCCGCGATGTCCGCCTCGCAAATGATCCGTGACAGCACTGCAAAAAAAAAAAAAAAAAGGATTTAGAAGGGTTTTAGTCTTAATAACACGGTTTTCACAAAGAGAGTAACCTGTAACCTCTCTTTTTGGGGATTGAAAATATCACAAAATCGCACAAAATAGCACACTGGTTGGTGTCACACGCAGAGCTGCAGCGTGTTACTATCCTCTTTTGTCTCCACGAGTCTTTTTTCGGTGTAATCTTGACTGAGAGATGCATCGGATAATCCCCGTGGTGAATCGGAATCCCCGCCGCTGCACTTGTGCATTCGTGGGCTTCCCTCCCCCCTCCCCCCTCCCCCCGCGCTATCACGGGGCGCCATGCCGCAGCTCAGCCCTGACCAGTAATTTGCGGCTTGCTTGGCCGGGCTCGTCCTATGGCGTATAGCGCAGCACGGCTCCGTGCTCTCGCGTCGCGGTCCGTCCGTCCGTTCGTCTGTCCGTCCGTCTGTCTATTTGTCTGTTTGCCCGTCTGTCTGCCTGTCTGCCTGTCTGTCTGTCTGTTTGCCCGTCTGTCTGTTTGTCTGTCTGTCTGTCTGTCTGTCTGTGTGTCTGTCTGTGGGTCTGTCTGTCTGTTTGCCCGTGCGTCCGCACTGCCTTTGATCGCACGCAGGTGACGGCCTCATTAGGCGCGTTCGGAACGCGCCTCGCTCTTTTTCGTGGCTGCCAGCCACTCGTCCTCCCCTACAAAAACAACAACAACAAGATCCCGGGGGATGCTGATTTTGTTTTTGTTGTTTTTTCTGGAATCACGGGGCCGTGTGTGCATCAGCAGGTCAGCCAGCTCTCCCGCACGGCGGGCATTTCGAATGAAAATGAATAAGGACAAAAAAAATTGAGTGGGGAAAAAATGGGGGTCTGGGGTTGTAAAGAGGGGGCGATGGCTCGCATCGCGCCACCACATAGCTCGGCCAACAGCCTAGTTATTGGATCCGAAGAGGGCTGAAGGGGAGGGTGGGAAGCATAGGGCCCGTCCGGCCGCAACCGCGTCAGCCAGACAGTGCAGTCATTACAGCGACGGGTAGCGACCACACTCTTATTCGTCTGGCAGGACGTTTTTTTTTGCCGTTCACTCTGACGAATTTTTACACTGTCACGTCTCATTTCAACAGCACGTTTCACTCACTTTCCTCAAACATTTTTTTAAAAACATGTTTCACAATAAAGTACTCAATCTTTTTTTTTTTTTTTTAAAAGAGTCTGATAGTAATATTTGGAGATTTTGCTTTTGCACAACGAGGCCCGGCGGCTGCGCGGGCTGGGATACTTACCGAGGCCTGTCGATTCACCTTGCCCTAAACAAGCCAACAACCAACTACCAATCAGCGGCCTCCGTCAACACCTCCATCGCGCGCTCGCTGCGTCCCAGCCAACTTTGCGCGAGTATCCCCCCCCCCCTCACCAAACTCGCCGGCACGGCCTCCACGCCAGCGCGGCTCTGCCCTCCTTAATCAACAAACATTTTGTAAGAAGCCAATTACTCGCTAAAGACTCTGCGGCACGGAAACCCCGTGGAACCGTCGAAACCTCGCAGGCCGCGGCGGCGGGGCTGCTGACGAGGCGCGAGGCGGGAGGTTCGAGGTTCGAGGTTCGAGGCTCGAGGTTCGAGGTTTCAGGGCTGAAGCCGAG